CTACTTTAGTATTTACCCTGTCCAATGCCAGACGATTTTTAATACTCAGTCAGTGGTAGGGTACTGTCAATAAATGGGTTAACAAGGATAACAATAATAGGATGTTTCTGAAGGACTCGTTCAACACCCTGTAGTTTGTCTTTTGCTGTCAAAGGCAGCACTACTGCCCTGTGGGTAACCTAGTATAATCAATATGGCTGCCTTCAAGGATTTTTGTCAGGAATTTCTTCAAATGTTTGGCTTAAATAAATTTAAAAATACACAAATAATAGCTTTAAAAGATCTCCTATTGGGCAAAGATGTGTTTGTCAACCAACCAACTGGTTCAGGGAAGTCTTTGATATTTCAAGCCTTTCCAATTCTTTTTGATATGGTGAAACATTCTCCGTCGAGAAGCAACACTATTGTACTTGTGATCTCCCCACTTGTTTCGCTTATGCAGGATCAAGTTTCTTTCCTCAAAAGCAAAGGAATCCGTGCTGCATATATTGAAGAAGAACAGTCCGATGAACGTGTTAAAAAGGATGTAGAAAATGGAAAATTTCAACTTGTATACAGCTCTCCAGAGTCTTTTCTTCAAAACCAACGCTGGCGAAAGGTGCTTGCAATGGATGTATACCATAACAATGTGAAATTAATAGCTGTGGATGAAGCGCATTGCATTTCTCACTGGGGATTTTCTCCTCGAAAAGGCGAAAAGATATTCCGTGTTTGGTTTAGCAGGATTAACGAATTGCGATCAATTGTTCCCGGTGGTGTCCCCGTGCTTGCATTGACAGCAACTGCTACAAAAAGAACAAGGGAACGCATCATGCATGCACTAGAAATGAAGAATGCAACTATTATAAAAGATTTCCCTGATAAGCCCAACATTACATATTCTGTTCAAATTGTTGGCACCAAAACATTGGAAACGTTCCACTCACTTATTGCAGAGGTTGAACAACAGGGAGCAGCATGTGATCGAGTTATTATTTACTGCCTAATAATTAAAATAACAACCATGATTTATGCACATTTTCAAGCAGAATTAGGACAAAATATGTACAAGGGTAACATATAAGACCCTAAGAATCGCCTTGTTGAAATGTTCCATGCTCATAGTCTCGCATCCTGTCTTCCTTTGCACATGAAAATGGTTGTATACTTGTATTGATTGCAACAATTGCATATGGAATGGGCATTGATTGTAAGGCTTTTAAGACAATCATTCATTATGGCCCATCTCGGAATTTGGAAGCATATTTACAAGAAAGCGGACGAGCTGGTAGAGATCAAATTTCTCAGTGTCAAGCAATAATATTGTACAACAATGTAATGCTCAAATACTGTGATGACGATATTGTTGCCAACAAAAGTGTATCTGTGATGTTGGGTGTGGCAGTTTACTATTGTTTTCAAAATTGCATAATGACTGTAAGACAGTGTCAAGGTCAAGAAATATAAGTGATGAGCAGAAATCAATCCTTACATGTAAACTGGAATATCTCAAGCAATACTATCTCGGTCGGCTTGTTAATTCAGATCAAAGCTTTCATGGTCATTTACTTACTCTGATTAATTTTATATGTAGCTTTAATGACATACAGGAAAGCCAAGGACTACAGCATTGCACAAAATTGTTCACATTGCATGACATCTATTCATATATTGACATTTGGGAACCAGATGTTGCCAATGACATTTTCTTTATATTACACTTAATTTTTGGAGATGTTGATTATAAAGAATGCACAACTTCAAATGATGAATCTACTGAAATTCAATGTGCTCAAGTTCAAGAAATGATGGATGCATGGCATCTGACATCAGATGATGAACTTTTATTGGAATTTCCAGATGAATTTTCCAATTTATCAGATGAAGATTGAATGCATATGAATTTTCTGACTGAAAACCACATGATACTATATTCTTTGAACAATCCATACAATTAAACAAAACTGCCAGAACTTCATAACAGGTCAGAAAAATAATCTATATACGGTACCTTTTAAGACAAACAGTCAATGTTTAAATTAAAGTGTGATATTATTTTAGGTGTGATGTGGGCCAAATATTACAAATCACCAAACTTGTTGAAAGTCTGGCAGGACTGGGCTTTGGCGAGAATATGATGTTGACATTGAGAAGTAGTGAACTAGGTATTTGGCAAAATTTCCAAACATCACTCGTACTATTAATCCCTAATTGTACTCGCCATCGCATGATTACCTATACAAATAGTGACCATTGGCTTAAACCAGTTGAAATAAGCATTTTTCATGATAGCAGGCAATATATGTTTATTATAATACAGTCACACCATTTATGATTGATTACTTTTGTTCATAATCATTAAATCTATTTTTGAAATATCTATTCCAATGAATACAGTCATGAATGAAATATTAACATGAAATTCAGAGTTGGATAAAAATGTCCAAGAATTATGGATCATTATCTTGGCCTTTTTTCTTGTGCGACTTTTTGTTTATGCCCGGTTATCCATGCAAATAAATCTTTAGAATCTAGCCTTTTTGTATCTGCGAAGCGGATATATTGCTGTCGCAAACGTGCCGTTGATGTTACTGTTACCGTATGTTAACACATAGCCATTCAGCGACAAGCTTATATTATTTAAGCCAATCAGCGATTACGTTACATTGTGTCCGCCATCTAACCTGCGAACGGGCATGGTTTGGCCTCGTGTTATCCATGTATTCTCGCCATTTTGGATTTTCAAAGCTGTCTTATTTTGTCGTCATTCTACTATCAACATGGAAATTTATCCTCATCTTGATCTGGTAAGTAGTCAATCTCTTCGGAGAGCAAAGCAATCTCTTCGGAGAGCAAATAAACAATCTCTTCGGAGAGCAAATAAACAATCTCTTCGGAGAGTAAAACAATCTTTTCGGAGATCAAACCAATCTCTTTGGAGATCAGAACAAGCAAACACAAGCTATATTAAGTGTATAAATTCAGATCACTATGCATGTAGTTGCAGATCGACTGTACGGAAATTAACTAAGCAACCAAATGCTAAACGATCTAGAGGCTGTGCACCTTCTAGATTGCCTTTAAAAAGAATTATATTAGCTATGAGAAAGAGAAAAAATAGATCTTTTTAAAGCATTATTTTGTAAGAAATGTCCCCCGGTCATCCATTTTGAACAAGATAGCTAGTAATTTCAAGCAATGTTGTTTTCAATTTGTGCAAATACAACATATTTTTATCAATTCATTTGGGTATTTTAAGCCTTGTGTCAGCATAAACATGACTACAGCAAAACAATCATTTTCTAATATGTTCTACAGTCAAAATATAGCAGGCAATATTGCCAATGAACAATATCACATATCTCAAAGGGCACTAATGTTGTCAGGAGATATTGAATTAAATCCTGGTCCTGTTAGGTTGTCATCAAATGTAGTGTTAGAACAAAGGTTAAGACGCTTTCAGTTAAGACCATTTGATGTCGGTGGTGATGGTGACTGTTTCTTTCGAGTTGTGTCACATCAATTATATGCTAACCCTGAACGACATTTTGAAGTTAGAGCAGCTGGTATTGCATATATGAGAGATAATCCTGAGAGATTCATTGAAAGTAATACTGAAATCTTGTGGTTAGAATACCTTAATAATATGTCTATGCAAGGGACATGGGGTGATGCTATGATAATACAAGCTGTGGCTGATCAGCTTAAGTTAAAAATTACTATTACAGAGACACATGAAGGGTTTCGTGAGTACAGTATAATACAACCTGTATCATCAACACAGCAACTAACTCATGTCTATTTGGGACATATAGATGAGTATCACTATGTATCAACATTGCCATGTACTTCAACATCAGGTTTTGTTGAGATAAATCCTGAACAGTCAACCCAGACCTCTCAGCGTAAGCACACAAGAACACAGTATATAAACAAATACATGAAACAAAAACGAGCTAATGAGACACAGAGCCCTGAGGCTAAGGAAAAGAGAAGAGTTTATGCAAAGGAATATAGGAAACGTAAACAGGCCAGTGAGAGTTCCCAGCCCTCAACACTGAGCATTGAGGCGGCTAAGCAAAAGAAAAGACTGTATGCAAAGGAATATATGAAGCGTAAACGTGCCAGTGAGAGTTTCCAGCCCTCAACACTGAGCATTGAGGCTAAGCAAAAGAAACGACTGTACGCAAAGGAACATATGAAACGTAAACGGGCCAGTGAGAGTACCCAGCCCTCAACACTGAGCATTGAGGCTAAGCAAAAGAAAAGACTGTATGCGAAGGAATATATGAAACGTAAACGGGCCAGTAGTTCCCAACCCTCAAAACTGAGCATTGAGGCTAAGCAAAAGAAAAGACTGCAAACAACGGAATATAGGAAACAAAAACGTTGTGAGATTGAACCACTACAAAGTTTAATATCCAAATTTCACAATGTTGTCTCACAAGGTCCTCTTTATATTTGCACTTGTTGTGACCAATTATGGTACAAGCATAGTGTCATTCCAGTCACAACACTTAAAGTAAATAATCCTGATGTTCAAAATAATCCTGATGTTAATGTTCCAGCAGATGTTGTTAATACTGTTAACATGTTGCCAAGGTTTACAAACGAGACAAGCACAATTAAAGTTAACCTTAAGAGAAGATTGCAATACAAGAGTTCTGCTTTATCACTAAATGTCAGACCAAATAAAGTAGCAGAAGCTGCCAAATGGCTTGTAAATAATGGTAACCTTTATAAAGATGAAGGTATAACTTTCAATGACACTTGGCTTGAAAATAATGCAAATACTCAAACGCTATTTGATGATAGTGACAATGATCAAACCTCAGAGGGTTTAGAAAATGTTGTGGGCTGTAATACAGAAAGCTTGAACTGTGACACAGAATGTAAAGCCCAGCAATCATCAGCATGTGATGATGATGAACACTGGAGTGAAGACAAGGCAGAAATACCTGCTGGAATCACTGACACTATGTTAACATCTCCAGATTTTGTCACTGATAATGAACGTCAGCATATTTTAAATGTTCCACCTGGTGAGGGCAATAGGCCTATGAGTATATTTTAGAGATAAATACTCAGAGGAATTAGCATATCCTGGTATATTTCTTGGACAGAAGCGACCAGACAAGTCCATTATAGTGAAATTTGTAAATCTGAATTAAGACGGTCTGATCGAAGGGCTGCAATGTGTGTGGAAAATATTTTCTTTAAAACGAAGAAATTGCAAATGAAAATTTTGCTTGGGCAGTCACAAGTTGCATTAAGAAAATGTCAACGAAATAGTAGCACAATCACTGCCGGTCAACTAAAACAACCGGGTGCATTAGATAACATGATTCATCATGATCAAGGATTTAAATTTCTTAGAGCTGTAAGGGGTTCACCTCCATATTTTGAAAAAGCTAAAAAGGATATATTTGCAATGATCAGGCAGCTAGGATCTGCTTCATTATTTTGTAGTTTTTCTTCAGCGGAAACACAATGGACTCATTTACTGAGAATATTTGGTAAACTTGTTGATAACAAAACATACACTGACACTGAACTTGAGAACCTCAATTGGGAAGAGAAAAGTAGATTAATTCAAAGTGATCCTGTGACATGTGCCAGGCATTTTGATTATCAAGTACACAAGTTTTTGCAAAACTTTCTTTTAAGTAGTGCTGCACCTCTAGGAAAAATTGCAGACTGGTTCTATAGGGTTGAATATCAACAAAAAGGATCACCTCATATTCACATGTTAATATGGCTAGAAAATGCTCCTAGGTTCGGGGAAGATTCTGATTGTGATGTTGTTTCATTCATTGATACGATAATCACATGTGAAAAGCCAACTGAGAATCCAGCTTTACTTGCACTTGTAAACAGGCAAGTTCAT